AGGCTTGGGTAATTTTTTTGCCCGTGAGCTGTCAGTTGCTAGGAAAAATGCATTCTGTAATCCATACAAGTTTGTCCTGTTTCCTGTCCTCACTAAACAGCGCCTTGCCCTCTGAGCTCATAGTAGTGACTTTCATTATAAAAAGTGTGTGCATTTTTCAAGCTTGTCTTGTTTTTAAAATTGACTGACAACCTTGCAGAAGCAAAGTCTCAATTTTATGGGTATGAAAGTGCTGGAATTGATGTCTCTCTTCATATCCTGACTAGGATGATGGGGAGGGGGACCCAACCTCAATTGCCGTAGGGGAGAGAAAACTGGAGGCAACCGAGAAACCACTCTAAGGGTATGTCTATGCTACCTGCCGGATTGATCCAGTGGGGGTTGACTTATCACATCTAGTCTAGACGTGGTAAATCGACCCCTGAGCACTCTCCCATCGACTCCGGTACTCCATCGGAGCGAGAGGCGCAGGTGGAGTTGACGGGGGAGGGTCAGCAGTCAACTCACTGCAGTGAAGACACCACGGTGAGTAGATCTGAGTACGTCGACTTCAGCTATGTTATTCACGTAGCTGAAGTTGCGTAACTTAGATCAACCCCCCTGCCCCTACCCTCTGCCCAGTGTAGACTAGGCATAAATCATGCTGTGTTAATTGGTCTCTGGTTTTTATTACCAGTGTATTCAGGATGTAGAGTATTGATGAAATTACTAGGACTGTGTGTTGGATTTCTTGACTATACCTAAGTAAAGCACCAAATGGCTTTATTCAGTGTCTCGTAATATTCATGGCAGGGAGACTGAGGGGGATGGACCGATGTTATAGAACAGCACAAGGCAGCAGTATTACAGCTGCTGTAAATAAGGAAGCTTTGTGGCCACCCCATCTGTCTGAAAACTGGTCCCAGACTTTCCAGTGCTATTATCTTCCTTTTTCTCTTTGCCCACTTCCAAGATGCCGCTCTCCTATGCCTTACCACCTGCCTAGTTCAAAGGAAATTGGTGGCAAAAAGTAGCAAATCCGGGTGTTCCTGTGTAGCTTTCTTACCAGTTTCCTTGGGGAAGAGAAGCTTAGGTCCATCTGCTCCTAGGAAATAGACCATCTTAAAGTTCCATTGAGAATTGTTTTGTTGTCTTTACCTTGAGTAGTCTAACAAATTTAAACTACTGGTAGTTGTTTTAAAACCAGTTCAGTCTTTTTAAGGTATCAGGGTGTGGGTAGGAATCTTCCCACTTCTCTTATAAAAATAAGTTTATTTTATTTCGTCACACTTTCTGTATGTGCCAAACCCACTATAAACCCCTGCGACTTGACAAACCTGTTAAGATTTAAAAGGTCTGGGGGTAGTTGCCTCACTAAATGTGGGTTAAATCCCTGATTAACTTGTATCTGAATTTTTTTTTTTTTGATAAATATATGGTGTATAGTCAACCTCGTTTAGTTCTAAAAGGAAAATTCTACACTGACTTATACCCCAGGCATCTCCATTACAACTCAAGGAAGCATTTGGCCTTTTTGTATTGCACTGGAGTCTTGTGGGCTTTCTTGGTACGCTGACTTGCTCAGCTTACATAGAAAATATGAGCTCTTGGCTTATACATAGGCATATTGTATTGAAAAGGATGCTGCCAAGATAGTAGGCCTAAAATTAGATGTACCTGTTCCTTTTTTTTTTTCCCCCTGCATATGTACTTGGGGATTGGATGCTTTTCCATGCCCACCTTGCTCTCTTATCATGTTGCTAGATTAGCAGCTCTGAGTACTGAAGCATTCTTTTCATAAAGCTTACGTAATAAAGACAATAGTAGTAAAATCTTTCCCAGACTGCTTACCAAAGTGCTGTAATCCTGTTCTGGAGTCTTTGTCCATTCAGTCCTTGGCTCTTTTTCTTAGGTGCGTGGTTTTTTTAAATGAAGTCTTCACGTTGCATTAGCACCTTTCTGCTTTACTGTGTCAAAACACGGTTCTTGGGAGAAAGTTGTTTGTTTGTTGAAAGGCAAGTGTGGAGTGGACATGTTTTAGGCCTAACCGAGTATTGTTTGTGGTTGTTACTTTTGTGATGTCAATATCTGCCCACTGGAAACTAGACTGAAATTAAACTTGCTTCCCAAAGGCTTCTAAATAGCTACCAGGTGATCATAAAAGATTTTGATCACTTTGGATATCAGACTAAATGATCACAATGGTACCTTCTGGCTGTATTTATGAAAACTGGACTGAACACTACAAGAAGGACTTCTAACCTATACCAATCTCTTGACCCATCCAAGGTTCATGTTATTGTAACTTAGAAAAATCCTGTTAGCTAAGGATAAAGCTGGAACAGATTTACCTCTTTGACTTAGTGTAACACTATTGACCAGTTGCCTGGTAGGGTTTTTAAACATCCTCTGAATTGTACAGTAGTGATCAGTTTTAGAACTGCGATAATGGACCAGATGGCCGTCTTTTTTTTTTTTTTTTTTTTTTAAGATTGGTGTGGTCTTGTACTACTTATGTTCCTAACTGTGAGCAACAAACCATTTTGACCCTAGGGGTTTGGGGGAGGGGTCTGGTTGCCCATCTGAGAAACTGAAATTTTTACATACAGCCCTTGTTTTATAGGGACTAAGTTTTACCTCCCCCGCCCCCATCATGTTCTCTATTCCCCCTTCCAGTCACCAAAATATTCAGGAGGAAGCATTAAAACTACAGTACAACAGATATCTGAGAGTCATGCCTGTGGCATTTGGAAATAAATATAGTGAAAGTGCAGACTTTGTTCAGAGTAACTTACATATGATGGCCTTTGCTTAAACCTTCATTTGCTTTTAATCTTCTGTTGCAGTTAGAAAATTCATCCTCCAGATGGCAGTAAGGTAATCCAAACTGGTAAATCTTCAAACATCTGTCAAATAGATGTAGATATAGTAGAGTGTTTAAAAGCTTATATGTCCAAAATACATGCTTCACGCTGGAGATGAATTATCAGTAAATGTATGAGCACCTTGATTCCAAGATATCTTTCTATAGGTAGAATATCAGAAATTGTTTGTTTTACTTTGAGAGTTTAGTACCCAGTAAAACCTAATAGTCTATAACAGCCAATCAACCAACATCTTGATTAATTTCACAGGGTCGTTTGCATGAGTTACCAATTTAAATGATATTTTACCTTTAAAGTAATTAGTTAATAAGTTCGTTATATTAGACCCCAAAAAATAGACATCAAAAATAACTATTGTGGTTAACTACCAATAAAGAGGATTTCTAGTACAATATATTTCAGCTTAGTAGTTCATTATTCAACACTTGAGTTAACATTCATTTTCAGTAAACCTTGTCTGTATGTCTTAGGACACCATGTTCTCAAGGGGATATTTAATGTGACTTGGGCCACAGAAGCTGTCTCTCTCAAACTTGCCACCAGGTGGCATTTGTTCACAAATTATGCTGTTGGTTCAGGATTTTTTTTCTTAGAACTTTCTCTACATCTGTTCTGTTTAATTTGATTAAATTTTAAAACCATTAAGTTCTTTTTTTATATCAGTAGCTTATATACTCGAATTTTTGTGTAATTTAAATTTGCTTTCAAACTTCCCGAAAGCTTATTTGTGTTATGCGCGTTTTTTTATTTAAAAAAAATTGCACAATCAGTTTTTTCCAAAATATTTAAGTACTTTCTATATTATGAGGGTAGAAAGAAAATTATCAGTCACTTTAACAATACTGAATATTAACAATACTGAATAACAATACTGAATGCTAAAGATAAACATATAAATACAATATAATGATTCACTGAGGACTCTTAAAAATATCTTTTAAAAATCACTCAACTGCTAATGTATTTTTAAAATGTTTCAGTAAGGGATTATCATTCTTTTTATTTTATGTGATTGGATAAACACCTTGCTATAATATTTAGTTTATATAATAAATGTCGTGTAGACTTTGAATGTATAATGCCATGAATCTTTATTTTTCCTGTTCTTAATCACTAATAAAAGAAACAGTAAAGCATCTTTCTCAAACTCACTTTATCTAAATTTTGCAATTTTTCTTTAGTTCCTTTAAACACACTAAATTACATATCATGAAATCATCAAATCCAGAGCTCTTCTACATCATATTTTCTGCTGCCTAGATGGCTGCACTAGACTGCATGGGGATAAATGTGTTTTGGGGAGACAAGTAACAGTTGACTGAGGATATGCAAATATAGATTCTCCCTATTAAATACTCTCCCTGTCTTGGCCTTCTAAAAATGTGCCACTGTGGAATTGGACTAGTGATCACATTGCAAATAATTAACATTTTAAATTAAAGCTCTTATTTCATTCTCTCCTCTTTCTCCCCCTCCGCCCTTCCCCCCGACACATTAACTTTAAAAGGAAAGCTTGGGTGCATCTTCATTTTGCTAATTCAGAGCTGAGATACATTTTATGTAACAAGCTTGGCATGGGGCTTTGAGTTACTCATTGTATCCCATAAGAAAATGAATTTTTAAAGCATTTGAACCAAAGGTATAAATCAAACTTCAAATGTAACCCTCGATATTCATTTTGTATCAGTACTACTTTAAGCTTAGGCATTTTTTTTGTGAGATGTTGTCAGTAACATACTAGTTATGAATATTTATACACATGTCAATATTGTGTCAGTCTTTCAGATGTTTGTGTGATATAGCACACACAGGATGAATAAACCAGTACACAGTTTTTTTTTTGCTTCTTGAAATTAATTGTAGATAAATTTGAGTTAAGGAGTCTGGCTTAAACTACCTTCATCCTTACATCACCACTTTCTGCCTAGATATTTCAGCATGTTGTGTTCCTTTTTAATATAACCTAGGATTTAATGTAGGCTTCTTGAAAATCACATTTTGCTTGGCCTATCACAGTTGTACATACACTTGTTGACAAAAAGTGTATATGTTAAAGTTGTCAAGCAAAAATGCATAAAACTAAAGGGAGAAATATATCTAACTGGGTCATTAAAATCTCTTCCTTTTCACTAACAGCTGCAGAAATACAAAGAATACTGCATCAACTTGGAACACTACAAGACACGCCTGAATTGAGGCAACAGCTGTAAGTACTTCACATGAAGATCTCTCATTTCACGATATTGTAAATACTGCCTCAATAGGTGACCGTGATTTTAGCCAAGTGCTCAGCTTTGTTGGGATGGTGGAAGTAGAAAAGAAGTATTAAAGCTTAAACATGAAAAAATTAATTATCTGAGGTATCTTTGTAACCTACAGGATCTTGCCATGCTAACCTATCTGACTGGCAGTTCTCAGTACTTCTGCTGAACATGTGCTGTGTTACATGTAAACACAGACAAACTGACAGCACTGGAAGGTACTAATTTGGCTCTAGGGATTCAAAAACCTCCAGAACATTCTTTTTGTAGGGCATTCAACGTGGTATGGTCTGGAGAGGGAGGTGCCTTTGTGGGGTACTGCAAGAAGGCAAAGTGAGACTGTTAAACAATGCTAGCTACAGTATCAAGTGAAATTACAAGATGAACATATGCCAAAAATAATAGAGAAAGCAGAAGTGAAATAAGGCCAGTTGTCAGAAGTTACGCTGTAGTTCAGCCCTCTGAATGTGGGCTTTCGTTCGTGTCCTATTGAAGGAGACTACTAGCCGCTCTGTTTCCCAATACAGAGGCTCATTCAGCTTGGACCAAACTCTTTTCTACCACTTTTATTCTTTAATCCTAACACAGATATGCACAGGCTGCATGTGCTGCACGAACTCATTGAGTGAGAAAGTTGGCAGACTTTTCTTTGTGGCTGTTAATATAGCACAGTAGCCATTGAATGGCAGGAGGGAAATGTATATTAGACCAGGCTTATCACATTCATTCTGGGCAGGATGACAAATTACTCTGAATTAGGACTACAAAATTGGTGACCTACTACCCTGGATCCACAATGGATTTCCTACTGATGACAGTGATTGAAAGTAAACTCTAGCACTTATACAGTAACTAAACTCAAAAGTTTATTAAACTCTTGCACTTGGCATCATTCGGGGGGGGGGGGGAATGCTGCTAGGCATTCTAATGCTGCTTCCTGTTCTTTAGCCATTTGCACATAGGATTGCAGTGATTATACACCTCTACCTCAATATAACATGACCCGATATAACACGAATTCAGATATAACGCGGTAGAGCAGTGCTCCGGAGGGGCAGGGCTGTGCACTCCAGCGGATCAAAGCAAGTTTGCTATAATGCGGTAAGATATATATATATATATATATATATATATATATATATTA